TCCCTTGTGAAATCCCCACAGTGTACTTGTGGAATGCTTGATGATTTATAGGCCTCTACCTTCAGATTAGGTAACCAAACCTCTGACGAGTAAGGTTATCTAGATCTTTTTGATTCTCAGAGTAGAGGTCCCACTCGGAGTTTCACCATCCCGGATTCTCGAAGTGGATATCCCACCTTGAGTTTCCTTTGCAGCAGGAGATAGAATAGAAAATTCTTCCTCTCCAGCACCGGGTTCGTCTTTGCCCTAAGAGAAGACACAATTTCTCAACACTTAAATCCATGTCTCACACGCATGGGGGATTTTATCTTGATCCCTAATTAGAAATAAGTTTGCATCTAACACATGCTGTCGTGTAGCACATTCCTGTAAGAATGGTGAAGTCTACGTATTCAACATCATAGCATCAAGTCTAAACGGTAGTTTATTCTTTTAGCACAACGTTACATGCGGAATAGAGTTAAACAATCCGCGTGCTAGCCCGACTCAAACGATAGTTGGTAAAGGCACATCAAATCCTTTGATGGCTGAGGGTTTACCAAAAATCCTATAAGTATTATGTTTATTTATTCCAAGTAGAATAAATAGTCATAATAAAGTTTAAACTCTACCAAACCAAAAGGAAGTGGGCAAAGATGACACAAATTTAGCCCGACAGCCAGCTTTTTTCAAGCGGGACAATTGAACCCGTCTCGGACACACAAGGCAGGGTATACTATCTCGCACACACAAGACAGCATCAACTATATCGCACGAAGAGGCCTCTCCAGCGGTTGTGACCGTATCAGCTCCAATAGTTGGTCCTGCAACCAAAAACCCATGTGGTTATGTAAATAACTAATGAGACGTAAGAGTAAGATCCATACCTGCAGATGAACCAAGCCTCAATAGTTGGTCCTGCGGCCTTGATATTTAGGACTGCCATACTCCAACGCTTTAAGAGCTTAAACTATATAGACTATAGCTAACGTATGAGTATAAATTATGTTCACACCGGTCAACACGTCAACAACGTCGGTCAACACGTTGCAATAAAAGTCAACACCGGTCAATGTGTTGTAATGAAGGTCAATGTCGGTCAACGCATCGATAATTTCGTCGAAATAAGGCTCATGATGAAATATCAGTTCAAGGAATTAATCCGGGAAGTTCAATCGTGATTCAGATACAAATTACCGACGAAGATGATCAGTTCAACGTCGAGCCAATGACACGAGCTAATTCAGAAATCAACACACCAGTTTTAATTCAAGATTTTGATAATGGTTAGACGATAAACGCGGTACCAGAAGAATTTTAGACTATTCAAAAAAATATTGAATAGACTGGAAGCTAAAGAAGTTAATGAATTGAAGGTTGGACGTATCATATCCAAAGTATTCTAGCATTGTCTATAAAAGAATAAGGCTGAAATACTTTAGAGGGGGTATTTGTAGGTGTTAAAAACTATCTATAAGTTCCTGCACGCAGCTCGAGATGAAGCGAAGATGACGAACGTCATCATCTGAGTCAAAAGAGGATCAACCAATGCCGTAGAGAAGCTAACGAGCACATAAAGCAAGTCAGCGAAGCGTACGAGTCAACGAAACGACAAAGTGTGCAATACGGCGAAACAAGACAAGTCTGGAGAAGCCCCTGGTAGCCGAGCCACCTCAAAGTGACTCGGACAGTGCCGAGCCACCTCGAGGTGGCTCGCGCCCAGAAGTTTCCGAAATGCATTTTTGACTATTTTCTCAGGATTTGATCATTCTACTGCCTCCCTAACTATCTTGGGATCATCCATGAACATGGTTAAGTATTTATTATTTGAGGATAAGGTCAAATCATCAATTCCTATATTAAAACACTGCATCCGGAGCCTATAAATACAAGTCTAGGGCCTCTACGCACGTTGGATCTGAATTTTGGAGCTTGGAGGCGAGGTGCTGACCCTGTGAGAGCAGACCCATGAACTTCAGAGAGAGGCTAGCGAGATCTCGATGAACTTCAGCATAAAGAGGGATATTTCGAGAGATCGGAAGCCCTTTCAGCATCCTTCACCTGCTTCCTTAAGATCAGACTTCGTTTTGATCTTGAGAAGAGTACTTGTCTCACCTTGTTGAGATATTTACTTCAGTTCTTGCTTCCTTTGTGAAACAAGAATAGCGAGCCTTCGTTCCGATCAACCCGTATCTGATTTTTGGCGGTCCACGGACTAACGCGCCCCCGGTACAGGCAAAGATCCCATGCAAGCAGCGATTGATAAACGATCCTGCGTGTGTTTCTAGGAGATCATATTTGTTTGTTTTATTTGTGTAAAAAAGTCTTACAAAAAGGCTCATTCTTTTGAATCTATTGTAATCGATAAACGTTGTAATGGATTCCACAAACAAAAAGATTTCCGACGCAAACACCGCGATGACTCTGAATAATTATATGCTGACAACTCTAAGCTAAAATCACGGCTGGCTCTCTACACCAGTCTCATCCGTCACATACTCGTTCGCCCTATCTACTATCAGATCTATGTCGTTACCATCATCAGAACTTATCAGCGGTTTCTGACCAATCTGAGCAAAATCTAAAAAAAAAATCAAACCCTCCCATCACGTTCAAAGCACTCCAAAACCTAAGAATCAACTCCTAAATTGTCAAAATCCGCCTCCAAGCCCTCAATCAGAAGATAAATTAATCTGCACCGTCGGATTTGATTTACTAATTTTTAACCAAACCCTTACCCATGTGAACAGTGTTCCCGTCGCT